TTGATGTCTGGGAACGTGAAGGGGCAGCTGGCGGCATGTCTGTCATTCCGCAGGGTTGGGATTCTTGGCGTGAGCATCGGGCTGATAGGACTTTCTTCTGGCTGCCTGAGGAGGCGACATTCGAGTTAGCAGAGGCGGATATGAAGCGGGTAATCCAGCGGCCTCGCCACGCCGCTAAGCGCAGGGCGGTCCCACAGTTCACTGGCCCACTGGAACTATGGCACATGATGCTCATGCCATGGCGGACGTTCAAACGCCAGAGCGGACTGGGTCTTGGCTTTGAGGGTGAGCAGCCATCTACTAGTGGTTTCAATTTCTTGGTCTCAGTTGGTTCCTCTAAGATACGAATGCATAATGTCACGCCACTTTACTGGCATCGCACGGACGGTGCTGGACTTCGTAAATCTGATCAACCTGGTCCTCGCGGTCGTCGGGTGGTTCATGTCATGTCTGTGGTGGGCAAGGGGTTCCACGCTCAGCTGCTGCAGCCGCCCCCGATGGTCAATGATCATGGCTATTTCCGACATCGTCGGCGCGAGGACGCAGTGCTTGGAGCTCTTGCAACGTCGTGGAGATTGAGGGCGCAGGGCATTACTCATGCGATGACACTTAAAGATATGTCCAATGCCTTCGGCAGCTCCTTGCGGGATCAGCTTAACGTCACTGTGCAGCTACATGCGAAGGAGGAGGATCGACTTCTCTGCCAGCAACGATTTCAGAACGCGGTCATCTCCTTGGAGGCACTGGAAGGCCCTCTCATGGTTCGCCCCTTGCAGGGGAACACGATGGGGGACCCATTTGCTGTCCGAGCTTTTTGTGGTACATTCTCCCGCCCCATCTTGCCGTGGAGGTATGGCGAGCAGTCGGCGGACCCTCAGGCCAGCATGCTCAAGGCATCATGGTATGAGCTACGCGCGGACGTGATTACCTTTAAGTTTGCTGATGACATCAACAGTTTTGTGCTCGCCGAACCGATGCAGTCTCTTGCGGACTTCACGTCTAAGATTGTGGCGGTGGATTCTCGTTTGGACAGTTGCCTCGACGAATATGGATATGGTCAGATCCCTTCAAAGCAGGAGTTCCTTATGTTCTTTGCTGAACGCAGCTATCTGTGCCGCCAGCTGCTCCGCCACCAGCCAGGTCTCCTCCATGGCTCGGTCAGGGACCACGTGGGGTACTTGGGCCCCTACCTTAGCATGAGTGTCTCGGCCCGATCGGAGATCTCCAGGAGGTGCAGTGCTGCTAGGTTTGGATTCTTCTCTTTGGGCAGGGCGTGGAGTCTGGGCATCCCGAAGCGATGGAAACGCAGTCTGTTCATCGGGGTCGTTCAGACTGCTGTGTTGAGCGGGTTGGAGAGCTTTGTGGTTACGGAGGCGGACGCTGGGATTCTGGATCGATGTCTTGCGGGACTTGGGCGAGTAGCGATGCTTGGGAAGGCGACGTCTTGGGAGGGCCCGCACGTGACCAGTCTCTCGAATAAGCAGGTCCTGGATCACTGGAAGCTCGTCCCGTGTTCGCTGGAGCTCTTAATTAGACGGGTGGAGCTGTATCAATCGTGGAGTGCTCACCCAATGGAACATCAGCAAGTTTTGTGCGCGCTGTTTGGTGCTTCTCCAATCGAGAGAACGCATGCTTCGCCGTGGACAAAACAAGTTGCCGATGACTTTGATCGAGTCTCCCGCCTGTTGCCATATGAGGTGATTCGAATGATTGCCGAGGATCTGAATTTACTCCTTGATTCCGAGATTTCTGAGGACTTTGTGCGAGTGGATCTTACTGAACTTCGAAGTCAGGCGTTTACCGTCTGCATCCATTCTCCAGGTTTCGTCGCTCCTGAGGGCAAGGAGGGAGGGGGTCAGGGTGGACTTGGAGGTCAAGATGAACATGCACCTGAGGATCATGATCGCACGCGCGACTGCACGATGGACCTCAATGGGGAGCCCTGCGGAGCCGCATTCTGCACGCGCAAAGGCCTCTTGGAGCATCTTCGGCACTGTCATAAACTACAAAGCCTTGCACATGTTCTTACTCCCAGCAACGTGTGTATACATTGCCTTCAGATATTTAGCACATCCACTACGGCAGCCCGCCACCTCCTTCGGTCAATACAACGAGGTCACTGCATTACGTGTGGGCCCCGCTCTTTCGCCCCGCTTGTGGCTCCTGGTTCCTATGAGTGCCCGTGTTGCGAGTATATTGGAGAAGATGCGGTTTCGCTGCGTCGCCATCTCCGAAGCCATATCCCTGTCAAGATTGCACCTTTCATTCGACTACACGTCTCCGAAGATGCCCGAGGTAGAGGACGCATCCATGTTGGGAAAGGCCGCCCCGAGACCTGCGTGGCGCAGCGGAGCCCTGGTGACAGGGGACGACGCGGACAAGCCGCCCGATGGCAAGGAACAGAAGGGCACAGGCGGCAACAACACCAAAGGGCAGAAGGTGAAGGACGACAAGATCATTGCAACCATTTGCAAGCTCGTACTAGCCGACGCTCGGGAGTTGGCCGAGCTCAGCGCTGTCTGCTACCTCAGGCACGAGATGGACGCTGGCCAAGGCATGATCGCAGCCGCAGTCGCGGCAGGGAAGCAATACAACGACGAGAGCATGGCCCTTCGCAAGCGGAGCGAATCAGGAGAAAAAGTCGACCACAAATCTCGCGGGGCTCCCCATTTGTCGGTATTCATGGCAGTGATGGAGTATTGGGCCACCAAGGCGGTGGCAGAGGAGGCAGATCCCGCGAAGCTTCAGAAGGCCGAGCACTTGAGGCGGGAGATGCGCGGGTATTGGGACGAGAGACTTTCCAAGGCCCCGATGACCGAGGTGGAGAGGGCAGTCCAGTATTTTCGGGTCCGTCTCCATCGGGAAGAAGCAGGGAAACGGAGGATGTGCACGTTCTTGTTTCGGATGGACCTGAACACCCAGATGGGCTCCTCGGTGGGCCCCATGATCGAGAGCCTGGTGTCTGTGGAGGGGGGCTCGTTCCTCTCAGGCTCGGCCCCGCGCGGGCCATTGGAGAGGGAGATCTCGAAGTATCTGGACCGCAACAAGAACGACTGAGTAGGCAAAGTGAGGACCAGGCCGAGTGGTTTCGCAACAGTTCCAGAGTTGCTGAGTTGATTTCCTCGGGTCGCGTGTCTCGGGGCCAGGTGGAAAGGGCCCTCACTAGGCCCCGAGTTTTTGAGGAGAGACCCGTTGGCGTAGCGGTGCCTGAGGCACCAACAGTACCTGTCGTAGTTCTGAATCGTGGTAGAGGCCGACACTCTGGGCCTGGGAGGCGGGGGGTGAGCTCTGGGGGGCGGGGGAAGGGAAGAGGTCGTCGCGCCTAGGTGTGCGGGCCCCCTCGGAGGGCCGCGTGCCCATAGGGGTGCCTGCCAGGCCAGTGCAGTTCGGGCTGTGAGCCTTTTTCAGGCTTGCATCGTAAATTGTGTGGTTTCGAAGGAACCTTCTCAGAGCACAGTCTGGTTTAACGAGGTTAGGGCCTGGCCAGCGTTCAGACATGGACTCCACGAGATTCTACTCTGCTCTGCTCCTCCTCCTCCTCCTCCTCGTCCTCCTCCTCCTGCTCCTCTTCCGTGTTTTGTCGAAGCCCTCGGGCTGCAGGGTGCCCCGGTAGGCTTCTGGGGCGGCTCGGGACGAAAAGCCGGCCCCTCGTCCGACGAGGGCGAAGAGGCTGGGGAGGTGGACGAGGAGAGGGAAAACGACGAGGGGGAGAAGGAGGGAGGAGGAGAGGAGGAGGAGGAGGAGGAGGAGGGAGGAGGAGAGGAGGAGGAGTAGGAGGAGGAGGAGGAGGAGGGGGCGGAGGGGGAGGGGGGACGACAAGGAGGAGGACGACAAGCAGGAGGAGGAGGGAGGAGGAAAAGAGGGGAGGAAGAGGAGGAGGAGGAGGGGAGGAGGAGGAGGATGAGGGAGAGAGGAGGAGGAGGAGGAGTAGGAGGAGGAGGAGGAGGAGGGGGAGGAGAAGGGAGGAGGGGGAGGAGGAGGGGGACGAGGAGGGAGGAGGACGACAAGGAGGATGATGATGAGGAGGAGGAGGAGGAGGAGGAGGAGGAGGATGAGGAGGAAATGGAGGAGGAAGAGGAGGAAGAGGAGGACGAACGCTGCCAACCACGAGCTTGAATCTGCGCAACGTCAAAAAAGGAGGAGGTCGACGATGAGGGAGAGGATGACGAAGGAGGAGCGGAAGAGGAAGAGGAGGAGAAGGAGGAGGAGGAGGAGAAGGGGTAGGAAAAGCAGGAGGGGGAGGAGAAGGAGGAGGAGGACGACGACGACGAGGACGACGAGGACGACGAGGACGAGGACGAGGACGAGGACAAGGACGAGGATAGGGAGGAGGAATATGAATGAAGAGCGCAGGAGGAGAGGGAGGAGAAGGAGGCGGAGGAGGAGGCAGGATGAGGAAGGTTGAGGAGGAGGACGGACGAGGAGGGGCAGGACGAGGGGGGGCAGGACCCCGTCCTGAAGCAGCCACGGCATTGGATGTCCGATCTCCCCGCGCTCGTCGGCCCGGAAGCTCCGCCGGCGTTCAGAGGGTCTGGCAGGTGCGGCGTGGTCGACCCCTGCGCTGCCTGGGAAGGTCCGTCGCGGAGGGGTCGGTTAGGCCGCACCGCTTTGTGGAACCCCCGTTATATCCAGGCCCCGCCGAGGTCCCGGGAGATCGAGCCCAGAGGCGATGGTCATGGAGTCCTCCTCCGCCTCCTCCTGCTCCTCTTCCTGCTCCTCCTCCTCCTCCTCCCCCTCCTCCTGCTCCTCTTCCTCATCTTCCGCCTCCTCCTCCTCCTCCTCCTCCTCCGCCTCCGCCTCCGCCTCCGCCTCCGCCTTCGCCTCCTCCGCCGCCTCCTCCTCCGCCGCCTACTCCGCCTCCTCCTCCTCCTCCTCCTCCTCCTCCTCGAATCCCCGCCTCGCAGGTTCGGCCGCGCCCGAGGCTGATCCGGCCCGCACGCTTGCGTAGATGCACTTCGGCCCGAGGCGCGGGCGCCCGGCGGGCCGCCCGCCGGAGTGCCATGGCCGAGCCGGCGGCCGCCGCCGTGCCGGCGGGGGCGGACCCCAGCGCAAGGAGGCTCGCGGCGGCCGACGAGGGCGCGGCGAAGCGGAGGAAGAGGGCCGGCAAGGTCCCAGCCATCGAGAGGTGGGGAGGGGCAGCGGCGGGAGGAGGAGGAGGAGGAGGAGGAGGAGGAGGAGCAGGAGGAGGAGGAGGAGGAGAACCAGGAGGGGGAGGAGGATGAAAACAAGGAGGAGGAGGAGGAGGAGGAGGAGGAGGAGGAAGAGGAAGAGGATAACAAGGAGGAGAAGGAGGAGGAGAACAAGAAGGAGGAAGAGGAGGAGGAGGAGGAGGAGCAGGCGGAGGAGCAGGAGGAGGGAGGCAAGCATGAGTAACTGCCCAAAGCGGAGGGAGCAGCAGCAAGGGAAGCAGGAGCTGGACATAGAGTAGGATGGGGGTATGGGGAGCAGATGCATCAGCAGCTGGAGCCGGTATGATTTAGAAGCGTCTCTGCGCTTTGGAAGCATACATGTCATATCAAAGCACATGTTAAATACATACTAGTCACGAGTATTATTATGATAATTTCTCGTATTCCTCTTATACTTGTTATTGTTAGAGGTCCAGCTGCTGGAGGTGAGAAGTGGAGCAGGATGGGGAGTGAACAGGAGGAACATGTTAAGTTGGACGGGAAGGAGGAGGAGGAGGAGGAGGAGGAGGAGGAGGAGGAGCAGGAGGAGGAGGAGGAGGAGGAGGAGGAGGAGGAGGTGGAGAGGGGGCAGGAGGAGCAGGCGCAGCAGGAGAGGAGGAGGAGGGGGAGCAGCAGCAGCCTGAGGAGGCAGAGGAGGAATGGGGCTCTAGGAGCAACTGGAGGATGGGGGAGGATCGGGAGGATCCTCGGGAGGTTCCGCCTCCACCGCTAGCTGCTCCTCCTCCCGCTCCTCCCACTCCTCCTGCTCCTGGCCCCCATCTTCGTGCTGCACCTCTCGATCTGACGCCCCCTGTCGGACGGGCCTAAGTCAATCATAGTGAAAAAAGTCGCCCATTGGGATTTTTGATATTTGTCGTTCGAAATCCGCCTGTAGGAGGACACGCCCCACCCAAGGGCTAGGATGAGGATAAATCCGTCCCAGAGCGCTACAGAACGTTCTCAGAGCGTTCCAGAACGCTCTGAGAAGGCCGCGGCGCCCGAGACATCCCCCAGATCCGCTGGATATCAGAAATTCTCGATTCATCCGTACTCGATTTGATCATCGTCCTAGTTTCGTCGTATCTTCACCTCCTTCGCCCTCCCAACCGGCGACAACGACGGCGGCCACTGCCAGAGGTCCCAGTCATCGACGTGGCCCCCTTCTTCGCCAGCGGCGCCGACGACGCGCAGCGGCGGGCCGTGTCCGCCGCGGTGGCCGACGCCTGCGAGCGGGTGGGCTTCTTCGTCGTCGTCGGGCACGGGATCGACCCGAGCGTGCCGAGGCCAGAGGCCAGAACAGACACTCCGTCGGGCGACGAGGTCTGTGCATGTCCGCTGCTTCCTGGCCAGGCCCCTTCTGAGCCCAGGAGCTGTATAGACGCTCTCCTGGCCAATCCAGGAGGGCGTGGCGTATACACCGCTGCTGGGTTCAGGCTGGGCCTGGCCAGGGAGCAGTGGATATGTATAGATCTCGCCGCCCTGAGTCTGGAGCACGTGGGCATATCGGACGTCCGCAGGGCCCTCACGTTCCCAAGAACCGTCGCTGGATCTCCATCCCAGGATTCTTGCGCCGCCAGGGTGAGAGTTCGACCACACGTCCCCTCTCCAGAGTTCCCTCTCCCTATCCCCCCCCCCCTCTCCCTGTCCCCAGAATCCTCTGCCTGACTGTTCCTTCCTTCCCGCCGGTTTCTCCTGCACTGTATAGCGTCAGCTTGACCGAGACAATATTTGTATTGTCGTGCTGTGCGCGGGTGGGCCCGGTGGCGGCGCCTGGAGCTGGCCAAGACTCGGAAGAGGCGAGGGGGAACAAAAACAAGAACGTCTCGTCGCCGGCGTGGCCGTTGGTGCGGGCTCACGCGGGCCTCCCGATGTCATTGAATTCGATGCGAAAGCACCGGATTGCGCCCAAGGGTTCCTTGGCCCCCCTCCTCCCCCTCCTCCTCCTCCTCCTCCTCCTCCTCCTCCTCCTCCTCCTCCTCCTCCTCCTCCCTCGCCTCTCCCTCCTCCTCCTCCTCCGCCTCCCTCTCCTCTCCCTCCTCCTCCTCTCCTCTCCTCCCCCCCCTCTCCTCCCCTCCTCCTCCTCCCTCCTCTCCTCCTCTCCTCCTCCTCCTCCTCCTCCCTCCTGCTCCTCTCCCTCCTTCTCCTCCTCCTCCTTTCCTCCTCCTCCTCCTCCCCTCCCCCCTTCCTCCTCCTCCCTCCCTCCTCTCCTTCCTCCTCCTCCTCCTCCCTCCTGCCTCCCCCTCCTCCTCCTCCTCCTCCTCCTCCTCCTCCTCCTCCTCCTCTCCCTCTTTGATGATTATGCTGATCTATACGAAAGCAGCGGATTGGGCCC